ACTGTGATTCTCTATGACAAGTAATTCCTCATTTGGAAACTCATTTTCTTGCACTAGTGTTGAGTCTTCGAGTGGAAAGTCAGCCAAGAAGTCAAAGACTGCGGATTCTTTGATAGAATTTTGAGGCACGAACCTTAGGTCGAATTGAGCCAAGGTGACTATGCATCTTGATATCCTCATATTAAGCATGGATTTTCCTAAAAGATACTTGACAGGATGCATTCGAGATACTACATGGACCGTGTGAACGAGCATGAAGTGTCTTAGCTTATTTGTGTCCTACACAAGTGCAAGGAACAATTTTTCAAGTAGTGTGTAGCGAACCTCATATTCGAGCATCTTCTTACTTACGTAGTAGATGGCGTTTTCTTTACCTTCTACTTCTTGTGCTTGCATAGCCCCTATTATTTCCTTGGTGACTGTCAGGTATAAGTAAAGGAATGTCTGGTAGCGCTAGTGCTAATAGAGGAGGATTTGCAAGGCTTTGATCCTATCAAAGGCTTCTTGACACTCATTGTCGAAAACTACTGGTACATTCTTCTTGAGTTTCTTGAATATTGGTTTACATACCGTGGTAAGTTTCGATATGAACCTACTTATGTATTGCAACTAGCCAATGAATCCTCAAAGTTTCTTCTCGGTCTTGGGCGGTGGTATGGACATGATAGCCTTGATCTTAGTGGGGTATATTTCAATTACTCAAGTACTAATAGCCTAGAAGTTATCCTACGGTAACCCCAAATGCAGACTTTCAAAGAATTTTCTCAAGGTTGTTCGGTGACCAAGGCGATCTTTAGATTTTACAATCATATCGTCCACGTACATCTCGACTTCTTTATCCAGCATGTCATGAAGTAAGGCAGGTGTTGATCTTTCGTATGTGGCACCCGCGTTTTTCAATCTAAATGGCATCATTATGTAGCAGTAAGTTCCCCATGGTGTTATGAAGGTGGTCTTTTCCATGTCTTCTTCCGCCTGAGAATCTAGTTGTAACCCGCGTACCATCCTTAAATGAGAGAACTTTTCTAAGGGTAGATTCTAAGCTAGGTTTGATGGTAGAGGGTGAAACTATAAGAGACTTAGTAGACTCAACAATGGAAGACTCAAACTCAGACTCAGATGACTCAGACTCATCAAACATAGGGCCTTCTCCCGTAGTTATGGATTGAAAGGAATGGTGTCCTTCTAACAAGTGTATTATTCCGATCGAGGGTTCAGAATTATTGGATAGCTAATTCTTCAGTATGGTCAAGTGATCGGAATGCCTAGGTGGAAGCCGCTTCCGATCAGTAATATTAATGTACAATTAATATTAAACCTTAATCTTGACTGAACCCTTCGGGTCGAACCCAATCGAACAACCAATCTGAGACGACAAATCAATCCGAAGGATTTGATGAGTCGTCAGAGTTTTAGGAACAAAGACGTTGGATATCGAGCTTAAAGCGTCGAGACCGAGCGTCGCAAGTCGAGTCGAATTTGGAATTTGACGAGACATGAAATTAATCAAGTTACAAGTTCGAGCCTAGCCGTAGCCTCGCATTGGCTTAGCCATGTGAGTGCTAGCCTAGACGAGACCCATCACAATGCTAGCCGCAAGCCTAGCATGCTAGGCGTGCTAGGACAATGCGTGCTGGCAGGCCATCGCACATCGCAGCCACGCACCATCGCATAGTAGCATGCTAGGCGTGCTACGCTATGTGTGGTGCTAGGCGCCTAGCCATCGCAGCCACGCACCATTGCATAGCAGCATGCTAGGCGTGCTACGCTATGCGTGATGCTAAGTGCTGGCAGCCTCGCTAGCACAGCATCGCACAGCACCATGCGCCAGCTAGGAGCGAGCTGGGCTGTGTGTGTATGTGCGTGTGCCTCGCTAGCAGCATTGCATAGCACCATGCGCCAGCCAGCAGCGTGTTTGGTTGTGCGTGTGTGTGCGTGTGCCTAGCATAGCAGCGCCCAACACAACGCACCAAGCAGCAGCGATGCATTGCGTGCTGGCTGGCTGTGCATGCATGCGTGCTGTGTGCGTGTGTGAGCTTGCTGGCTGGCCAGGCTGCCCAGCCTTGGTGCTAGGCGCCAGCTGGAAGGCTTGGCAGCTAAGGCAGGCTTCCTGCCAGCCACATGGAGGGAATGCCGGTTTGCTAAGTGGGGACCAAGGTTGTGGGCTTTGCCTTGGGGAGCAAGGCTATGGTCCCCCCCTGTGAAATGGTCCTCACCTAATCTCTCATCCTCCTTATGCCACTTGTAACTTATTGATTGAGTTGCAATTTTATTTTTGTTTTAATTAAAATAAAATAGGAAAATCGCAAATCTCCCACAGTGATTGAGAATGGGAATTCAAGGTTCATTTCCCTATAAAATACCAAGGTTTTGGGATTTGGGAAGAACACTTGAGTGGAACTTAAAAGGCATCTTCTTAGAAAAGTGAGAAAACCTTAAGTTCATAAAACACTAGTTTTTATTGGTCGGGTCCCGACTAACCTTCGGGACTTGGATCGTTCGGGTCGGGTTCGTGGGTACGAGCCGTCGGAGACCTTCGCATTTGCGGGGTTCAAGTAGGAGCTCGGGATTTGAGCAAAGCACGCGCCAAGGGTAAGAATATCTTTCCTTGTCTCTCTTAATTGTTGTTTAGTTAGTGATTGCATGCTTAGTCGCTTTAATTAGTGTGCGGGTCTTGGGTGGGTTTCCCTTCCGCGTAGAGTCGGACTCTACGAAACCCAACAGCGGTATTAGAGCCGCGCTCAGAAATATGCATGTGGTTGCATCCCTAATCTACTGCAATTATAAACCTAATTAAGCATGTTTATGAAGTCATAATTGGTGCTTAATTTGGTGTGTTCACTTTTCACATAAACTTGCATTTTTCTTATTATTGCAAATAAACTACTATAAGTATGAATGTTTATGGTGAATTGTTTATTGTTTATTTGGTTATTTCAAAGATTCAATCTTTAATTGTTTATTTGGTTGGAACTTTGATTGCTAAAGTCCATGTTGAACTAATTTTTGGATTTAATCATTTTTGTGTTGATTAATGTCCTTAAAGTTCAAAACTTGTGATTGAATTTTGGTTAATCTTCATATTGGAAGATGAAATTTTTTCAATTTTACACAAGTTATTGTTGGGAAATTTTTCATTGGATGAATGGGTTTATTATTCCAACTCCCTATTTTGTCAAAAGTCAATATTAATTTGCATATTGGTTAAATTAATTATGGGTGTAGCCCTTCAATTTTAAAGCATCGGGAAAGACCTAAATTGTTTCAAAAGTAATTTTGGATGATTTTGGCTTGTGCACCATTAAAATTAAATTTAATTAAGTTGGACTTGTTTTATTTTTATTTTGCCCTAAATTGATTCTAAAATTAATTTAGAGTTGATTTTATGTCACATGTACAACGGGATTAAAATCTCGAGAAAAAGCACGTAAATCGAGGCAACAACACCTAAGTGCCACCAAGGCTAGCCGGGCTGCCCACGCAGCCCACATGTGGCTGCCTTAGGTGCGCACAAGGGTGTTGTGCCTTGAGGTGCTGCTGCTGTGTGGCGAGGCTTGTTGCGCACTGATGCTGGATGCGTAGCCAAGGCTGCTGATGGATGCTTAGGCGTGTGGCTGGGCAGCAAGGCAGCAAGCCCCAGCCAGCTAGCCACTCGCTCCCAGCGCCAGCGAGCATGCTAGCATGCGTAGCATGCATAGCGTGCTTCTGATGCTAGCTAGCGTGGCATGCTACGTTGGGCTAGCATGCTAGCACCCAGCATAATCAGGCGCAACACCAAGGGGCTGCATAACAACCATGGTGCGCAACCAACGAGTTTTAGGGGTGGGCCATTTTTTTGCCTAAACTTAGGCTATCTTTTTTGCAAAATTTTGCCGTTTTAATTTATTTAATTATTTTAACGAGGCTAGGCCTCGGCTTTTCCGGCTCTTGTAAAAATTTGGGTTAATCGGCTTAATTGATTGGATTAATTATGTTGGATGCGGAATTTAGTAGGAGCTCTGTTAATTGCATGAACTAATTGCATTTTAATCACATAAAATGTTAAACAACTTTGACTAGTTTTAATTAGGCGCGTTAATTGGATTAACCACCTAAGTACGTTACTAGTTCGCGCGCGTTATGCATTGTTACTTGTTTTTCGTTGTAATATGCATGGGCCATTCATATATAGTGAATGGATGAATGGAAGATATATTGTTTCACAGGTTTCGTGAAAATGTCAACTAGTGGGGCCCGATTAGGATAGTAAATACGGACTGCGATCCGTTATGTATTTTTGTAAATCTAAATATGGTCCGCGTACCGTTGAGTATTTTTGTACCTTAATATTTAGATTAATCCTAGTCGTAGTAGCTAGTAATTTCATTTTGGCGATGATGTCTCAAGACGGCGTTTCTATGAAGACGAGCCAAGATGAAGACCCTTGAAGATTTGAAGATTTCAAGGGGTCATGCTAGTTGCCAAATGCATCTTATTTCATGTTTGCTATATATAATTGTTCTTATATATATGTGAATGATATGTTAGGTGCATGTTTAGGTTTTCAAATGTTGCGATGATTAATTGAGTGCACTTAAATCAACTAACATGGAAATCCTAGCACTAGACGTAAAAGATAAAAAGCTAGGCACCGGTTCAAACCCCCCTTTGGCACTGGTTCTAAACCGGTGCCAACTACCATGGCGCTATATTTTTTTTTTCAATACTATTGGCACCGGTTCAAAGCAAGAACCGGTGCAAAAAACCCACTTTAGGCACCGGTTCTTGCTTTGAACTGGCCAAAAGTTTCAAATTTTTTTTTTAAAAAACTTTAGGCACCGTATCTGGTCAAAACCGGTGCCAAATATACCCCAAAAAAATAAAATATTTTTTTTTTTGGCATTTTTTTCACTTAAATTGATATAGAAACATTAACATATATAAAGTTACATATTTTTCATTAAAAAAGGATGTAATAATAAAATTTTCGTCCAAAAAAAAATCAAAGCAAGGGACGAAAATACAGCAGAAAGGGCCAGCTAGCATGTTATCCCAACAACAAAAACCCATAGAACGCTAACAACAAAAACCCAGTAGCAATTTTCTTTTTTTACCATTCTAACTGGCCTAGTATGGCCTTCTCCATTTTTAGAATTTGTTCATTGTTGTATGCCCTTTCTGATATGCTCACAAAGTCGTTAACTTGAAACATTTACAAGAATTAATCTAGGGTTTCAAAACTATAAACAGCACAGTATATAATTTCTGTAGTAAGTACCTCAGGAGCCCAGATTTCCTCATACTTGCAAGCAATCAACATAGCACTAATACCCAGAAGCTGCAATTCTCTCCTTGGGACAGATTTCGACGAAAGAAACTAATCAACCAAGTTAATGGTCAGATAAAGGGTCTAAGACATAAGCTCAAATCTGTTGTGCACTTCAATCAACCAATCAACTAAGATAGCCCTCATTTTGTCGTTGATTTCGGGTTGCGAATTCATGTAGTCACAAGGCCGACTCTCATTCTACCACCAAAAACAAGAGCAATTCATCAATCCCTTGCTACTTCCAACCAGAACCATGACTAAACTAAAGTTCTAAAAGTGGGTTTTTAATAAAATTATACCTCTGCTATCTTATAGAAAGTGTAGATATCTTCAACATATTCAACCACATCTAACCCATTATCAACATCAGATGCATCAATGTCAGCTACTTGTTCCTTTGGGTTGTATGTCAAACCACAAGTAGCCTATAATCCCACCAAAAACAGCTTATTCAGAATCCAATGTAACAGTATTTTTACAAATTTATCATTCAAAGCAAAGTCTCAAATGTCAGCAAATTAGTCCAAAATATACCTTGCTCCTAGCAGTAAGCAAAGTCTCAAATGCGCTTCCACCTTTTTTTTTATAAAGCAACTTAAACAATCTAGGGAAACAAGAGCCAAATGGATAATAACCTAAACTACCTATGAGTTTATGCCTGATTTGGTGTATATAAATGGAAGATTATGTTCTTGTATTGTTAGAGATTCATTGAAAGGAAAAAGCGTAGGACCAAAAGTGCAGCGGCGATTTCTGATATGGTACTTCACTACTTCCTATATTACTTCAGTATCTATAGAAAATTGAGCACTAAGAACAAAGATTTTAGGAGCATAGTAAAAACACCAGTTCTGGCAGAACAGAGGGCAGGGATATCTTGATCTTTTTACCTGATCAGACCAAGCATTTGGCGTAAAATAGGAACATATGATCGATTACAACGTATTAAATATTGAAAACCTAATTTGCTTTATATTATCTATTCTGAGTTCAATAGTATAGTATTCGTAGTCCCTCTACTATTTTATGAAACTTCTTTATAATCAAAGTGGATTTAGAAGCACCTCACGAACTTACGTAAAAAGCATATATTGGGGAAAAAGATACATAATTGTAATAATTACATGCTATGACTATTCTTAAGCGTTTACCTTCAGCAGCAGCAGCAGGAGTATTGACAGCAGATTCGACTCCTTTACCAAACAAGCAAGGGAAACAAGGAATACTACGTAACCACCACGAAAAGATTTCCTTATAAACCAAAAGTTGTTAATCCAAAATTACCAAAACACCTGAAAAATAGAATTTTGCTCAAACATTAACTAAAAACCACAAGCTGGAAAATAATAATTACGGAGTAAATAACAGTACAGATTTATAATGAATAAAAAATTTGATTAAAATTCATTACGAAGTTTAACTAGATTGCTATGCTAAAAAACCCCTCAAAAGTTTCTTGCAAAACTTGAAAAATCTAGCTCTAAATAATTTAAACCACTCAAATTTTCTGCAAAACTTGTAAAATTTAGCTCTAAATAATTTAAAACCCTCAAAAATTCAGCAAAACTTGAAGAATCTTGCTCTAAATAATTTGAACCCCTTGTACAAAAAAAGATGTACAACTTCTTTGTACAAAAAAGGAAGAGAAGAGAAGAGTCTGCAAAGTGTTTCCATACAAATTAAGGTTGTAAAATTGTAATCTAGGGAGTAATTAGTGGACCAAAGAAATTTTAACTTAAAAGGAAATTTCGGAAAAAAAAAACACGGCAATTATGAAAAGAAAACTAAAAAAAATGCAAAGTAATAATGGTCAAGAGAAGAATGCCTGAAATTCAATGTCTGCTCATCAGAGTAGGAGAAAGTATAGAAGACAAGTGTGATTAATAATATATATTTCTTTTCAACAAATTGACCAGGCTGTTGACCAGCTAATAAGGTGTGGCTTTGCTTTAAGTTGTTAACCAGAATAATGTGTTTTTTGTCATTCATTGATTCAAAAACCCAGAAATGGAAACCAAGATCTAACCCTAACAACCCACAGATTGCATCAAACTCAGCATAAATTGACGCATTTCAAGCTTAGTGATTAACAAAATTCAACACTTACACACATTATCCAATAACACGAGCCAAACTCCCATTTCCCATACTCACGGTACGTGTACTGGAGTCTTGATATGAAGAAAATATATTTTTGTCAACAAAGACACGTACATTAGCCCTAGAGTTTATCAACCAATTATTTAACTTAAAAACATAATTTAGCTCAAGGATAGTGACATGATACTTGTCAGATGGGAGATCGGAGCTTCTACGACTAATCATAGTAACAACATTAGCAATCGTTGGTAACAATCCTTAGCTAAATGATTGGTTCGCCCACAAACATAACAAAATAACTCATTCCCCTGACTTTTACCATTTGCCTTGTTGTTATAAGCATTGTTTTTATTTTTAAAAATTATTCTTACCAAACTTGTTTTTCTTAAAACTATTTTTCTTAAAAGGTTTAGACTTAGGCATGTTGGAGTTCTCAACAACATTAGTCGTAGCCTGAATTCAGATTTCTGCAAATTCTTTTGAGAGAGACGATGTTTTTCCTCAATGCGTAAGCAAAAAAGCAATCATCAAATGAAAAATTTTCGGGTTTATGTTTTAGACTCCTAGCAAACTCAAGACCATGACGGAGGATACTTTGCAATCATAAAAGTAACGAGCATAATATCAGGCAAAAAAATTCTTTTAATTTCATAAAATAAATAATACTTTCAAACTCAAAAATTTGGTCAGAAATTGATTTTTGTTCAACCACTTGAAAACCAAATCAACGACAAACCCTAGATTGCGAAGGAATTCAATAGATTAAGAAGACCACATTACCTCGAAGCTGCTTCAATGGAGGTGAGAAAGCTCAGAATCGGCTTCAATGGAGAATATAGAGCACGAGTTCAATGGAGGCCAGAGATATGGAGAGAGAAGGAGGTGCTGCTTCAATGGAGTGAGAAAGCTCGTAAACCACTTCAATGGAGAAGGTGAAATTCTTGATGGTGGAAGCAAGAGAGTTGAAACTCCAATCTATACCAACCATTACAATTAGAAAAACAAACAAAAAAAAACCAAAAAAAAAAAATTCGCCGCTTTGAAACCCTAATAAATAAAAACTACGCAATTAACAGCCAAAAAAACCTAAATTAACAACAAAAATCAATAACAAAAAAAACCCAACCAATCAAAAATCAATAAAAACACAAACAAATTAAAAACACATGTAGTACAACCTCATCTGGGTAACAATACACGACGAGAATCATCAAAACAGAATCAAACCAATAACGAAGCAGAAAATGCAGTTGAATCCGAAAATAGTAGGGTCAAATCTAAGTTAAACCAAACAAAAAGGAAGAAGAATAGGAGGAAAAGACGAACCTTAAAAAGGGGGAAAACGAAAAAACGAAGAAACCCTAATTGTATTTTTGAAAGAATAGATTATAAAAAAGGCGAAAATATCTAAAAACGAAGATATAGATAAATCTGTGAGAAAGAAGATGGAAAAAACGGGGGGAAAGAAAGAAAGAAAAGCAGGAGCCCGGTTTTTTTTTGATAAGTTGGCACCGGTTTGAACCGGTGCTAATTAAATGATTGGCACCGATTTTGGTTGGAACCGGTGCTAACACTGATTTTTTCAATTCTGCCCATTTCTTTTGGCACCAGTTTCCAAGAACCGGTGCTAAAAGGGGGGCTGTCTATTTCATTTTTTCTACTAGTTTAGGTCCCTAAAATATTAAGCTAAAATATGTCATTCCAAGAACAACACTTACCGAACTAATGCGCGTATGTGATGGGCTACGCCAAAGCGAGGCATCACTACTTCCCTAGGAACTTAAGGTGTACTAGGTATACAAGTTTTCTTGGTTAAGCTCAACAATATCGGTAAGGATTCAAAGAGTAGCTTGGAGCTATTAGCAATTGGATTGCTTACCCTAAAATATCAAGTGTTAAGACAAGCCAAAGTATGCTTAATCACTTTTTGATTTTTAGGATCTTGGAATCATTTTATTCTCGCCTAAAAGGGACTAATGTTAATGCGTGGATAAAATGCTCAATAAGATTGAAAATTTGCATGAACGCTTTAAATTTCAAACTTATTGGTTTATGAATGGTTTTTCATTTCAAATTCTTTCAATTGTAGAAACATGTTTGCAAGTAATTCAAACAACAACTATATGTGCCCCGAACTCCCCGACAAGTTGGCTTTTAGCCTTAACTTGGTCGACTTCAACGATTGGGAGGAGGAACTCAGGAAAACTCTTCAGAATTGTTCCTTGGAGTACACTCTTGATACTCCCATTCCAAGCTTCTTCTCTAAGGGAATCATGAGCAATGAGGCTCATGAGAAATGATCTTCCAATTGCAAGAAAGTCACACATCTAATGGCTAATTCCATCTCGGAAGATTGTAAGGAAAAGCTTTCCTTCTATTTTCCGGATATTTTCCTCAAATCATTGGAGGATGTTGTCAACATAAGAGTCACCAAGAGTGACAATGGCAACTATGATGGGCTCGTGTTTGATTTGACTAGGTCAATCTCAAACATGAAGATAAAGCCACCGAATGTGGGTTGTCTTGATAAAGAAAGGCGCCGGCTTTGGTCAAGGGTCTACAATACCAAATTGAGACCCGGGATGCCCCTCTGACCTCATGTTCTTTAAATGACTAGGCTCTTCAAACACATGCAGCTTCTCGAAATCTCATTGGAGGATGAGATGGCGGGGCATATCTTGCTTGCTTCACTCCACTTAGGCTATGATGCACTTAGAGTACATATATCTGCAGGAAAGGAGACACGCTCCTTAAAGGAGTTGTTGCAACTACTCAGCCGAGCTACCGCCTATGGAATGACCGAGAGGCCCTTGAGAGCAAGAAGGAGGGAGTTCAAGAACAAGGAAAGGATGCGGTGCTTTTATTGTGGTGGGCAAGGCCACTACAAGAGAGAATGCAAGCTCTTCCGAAAGGAAGAGGAGGAGAGGAATGTGGCATCTGCCTCAGGTATCTTCATTAACACTTGTTTTTAAAGATATTCATAGGTATTGGATACCATGTATAACTCACTTTATGTTTATTTTTTAGGAACCAAGTGAGAGGGCATCACAAGTTAGGGTATTGGATACAATGTGCATCAACAAGCGGACGACAAAGATGGTCTTTTGATCGTGCTTGTAGGCACATTTATTTTGTCTATGATTTGTAATTAAACAATGGTTGTTTTCTTATGCTTTTGAACATACTTTTGATCTATGGAGTTAGACACTAAGTTATTTTGATCACAAGGCTTAATCAATGGTTGGTTTGTTTATATGTTATATAAAATTCTTCTGTAAGGGAATCATGAGTGATGAGGCTCATGATAAATGGTCTTTCGATTGAACGAAAGTCACACATCTAATGGCTAATTCCATCCCGGAAGATTGGAAGGAAAAGCTCTCCTTCTATTTTTCAGATATTTTCCTCAAATCATTGGAGGATGTTGTCAATATAAGAGTCACCAAGAGTGACAATGGCAACTATGATGGGCTCATGTTTGATTTGACTAGGTCACTCTCAACATGAAGATAAAGCCACCGGAAGTGGGTTGTCTTGCTAAGGAAAGGTGTTGGCTTTGGTCAAGGGTCTACAATACCAAATAGAGACCCGTCATGCCCCTCGGACCTCATGTGCTTGGAATGACTAGGCTCTTCAAACACATGCAGCTTCTCGGAATCTCATTGGAGGATGAGATAGCGAGGCATATCTAGCTTGCTCCACTCCACTCGGGTTATGATGCACTTAAAGTGCATAAAATCTGTGGGAAAGGAGACACGCTCTTTAAAAGAGGTGGTCAAATTGCTTAGTCGAGCCACCGCCTATGGAGTGACCGAGAGGCCCTTGAGAGCAACGAAGAGGGAGTTCAAGAACAAGGCAAGGATGTAGTGCTTCTAATGTGGCATTCGCCTCAGGTATCTTCATGAACACTTGTGTTTAAAGCTATTCATAGGTATTGGATACCATGTGTAACTTAGTTCATGTTTCCTTTTCAGGAACCTAGTGAGAGGGCATCACAAGTGAGAGGGTATTGGATATCATGTGCATCGACAAGCGGACGACAAAGATGGTCTTTTGGTCGTGCTTGTAGGCACATTTATTTTGTCTATGACTTGTAATTAAACAATGGTTGTTTCTTATGCTTTTAAACATACTTTTGATCTATGGTGTTGGACACCAAGTTATTTTGATCACAAGACTTAATCAATGGTTGGTTTGTTAAAATGTCTTGTTTATATGTTCTATAAAAATTGCATATGTTTAGACAAATTTATGATACCGCCAAAAGGAATAAAACCATTGAGTTGAATCAAACCTAGTTGTGGCATTGTCGTCTTGGCCACATTAACATCAAACGCATCAAGAAATTTCTTGAAGAGGGTGTTCTTGACTCATTCGACTTGGTGTCGTTGGAAAATTGCGAAGGATGTCTATTAGGCAAGATGATAAAGCAGCCATTCTCCAAGTTGGGAGAAAGGGCAAGTGACTTATTGGGTCTAATACATACGGATGTATGTGGACCAATGAGTACACCCGCAAGGCAAGGTTATCTATATTTCATTACCTTCACCGATGACTATAGTAGATATGGTTATGTCTACCTTATGTCGAACAAATTTGAATCTTTTGAGAAACTCAAAGAATTTCAGAGTGAAGTTGAAAATCAACTTGGCAAGAAATTAAAAGCACTTCTATCGGATTGAGGTGGCGAGTATTTGAGCCATGAATTCGATGATCACTTGAAAGAAAATGGCATTCTTTCAGAGTTAACACCTCCCGGAACTCCATAATGGAATGGAGTATCCGAACGGAGGAATCGAACCTTATTACACAAGAGGGAATGCAAGCTCGTGATGGTGTCTTTTTGGAGAAGGAATACCTTTCCAAAATGACAAGTAGGAGGAAAATCAAACAAGACGAAGTTCAAGAGGTAGAGCAACAAAGTCAACATGACAAAACTGACAATCAAAGTGCTTTAGAAGTAGCTGTTGCCATTGGTCAGTGTCAAATCAACAATGCAAATGCTCAACCTATTACCTTGCGTAGGTCGTAACGGCCAAGATCTCAACCAGACAGATACCTTGGTATTGTCTTAACCGAAAATCAAGACATCCTAGTTAGGGTTGGAGATGAGCCAACGACATACAAACAAGTTATGACGAGCCCCGACTCTGCTAAATGGCAAGAGGCCATGAAATCCGAGATGGACTCCATGTCTAAAAATCAAGTCTGGGACTTGGTTAATTTGCCCGAAGGTTACACACCTATGGGTTGCAAATGAATTTTCAAATTAAAAACAGACAAAGATGGAAATGTATCTATATACAAAGCTAGATTGGTGGTAAAAGGTTACAGGAAAATTCACGGAGTTGATTATGATGAAACCTTTTTTCCAGTTGCAATGCTTAAGTTCATCCGGATCATCTTAGCGGTTGCTGCATATTATGATTATGAAATATGGCAAATGGATGTCAAACCTACCTTCCTCAATAGGACATTGGAAGAAACTGTGTATATGACACAACTGGAAGGTTTTGTTGATCTAAGCAATGCCGGGAAGGTATGCAAGCTTAAGAAGTCCATTTATGGATTAAAGCAAGCAAGCAGAAGTTGGAATCTGCGATTCGATAAAGCGATTAAAAAGTTTGGTTTTATCAAGAATCCAGATGAGTCTTGTGTCTAAAAGAAGGTCAGTAGGAGTGACATCGCATTCCTAGTCTTGTATGTCGATGACATATTACTCATTCAAAACATCACTAAACTATTAGAGTCCGTAAAGTGGTGGTTGGGAAAGTGCTTTTCAATGAAGGACTTGGGAAAGGCATAGTACATATTGGGCATCAAGATCTATAGGGATAGATCTTAGAGGATGATTGGATTGAACCAAAGTACTTATAGATAAGGTACTGGCACGATTCAACAAGGAAGGGGCCAAGAGAGGGCACCTACCCATGTCCCATGGCATAACTCTCAATAAGAAACAGTGTCCACAGACACCTGGTGAGCGAGAGAGAATGAGTCAGATTCCATATGCTTTGCTTATTGGATCGATCATGTATGCCATGATATGTACTAGGCCGGATGTGTCTTATGCCTTGAGTGCTACGAGCCGATACCAATCAGACCCAGGAGAGGCGCATTGGACTGCGGCCAAGAACATCCTAAAGTACCTGAAAAGGAACAAGGATTCTACTGACGCGAGCTTCTAGACTGACAGAGATGACTCCAAGTCGCAGTTGGGGTACATATTCTGCCTTAATGGAGGAACGTTTAGTTGGAAGAGTGCCAAGCAGAGCACCACTGCAGATTCTACAACTGAAACTGAATCCTTGGCAGTTTCGAAAGCAGCTTAGGAGACAGGTTGGATTCGTAAGTTAATTAGTGAACTTGGTGTTGTACCTTCATTTAAGGGTCCAATAGACCTCTATTGTGATAACGACTTCTCAGGCCAGGGAGCCAAGGGAACATCAGAAGGTCAAACATGTCAAGCGGCGATTTAACATGATA